ATCCGTAGGAGTTGTCATTGAAGACATACCCATCCGTAGGAGTTGTCATTGAAGACATACCCATCCGTAGGAGTTGTCATTGAAGACATGTTTGTCTGTAGTGACTGTCAATAGAGATTAATAGAAACGAAACTTTGCCGAGAATCCCAAGGGTAGATATTTACAGGAAACGTTTCTGGGGAGAGGATGTCGAAAGTTTACCGATAGATCTTTTGAGCTCTTCAACATCCCTGTCCTGGAGTTTGTCGTCCCAGGGTCATGCTCATCTCTAGTGAGTTATTTACTCAGAACAGCTGTCCTGCTACTCACTTTATATGAGGACAAGTCTAGTTCCTGACCATTTTTATACAGTATCAACCACGTACACAGTGTTATATCTGCTACAATAACATTTTACATGTATATTCAAATTCGACAGATATCTGCTTATACACTCAAACTGTATTTCGAAAACATGGTGTACCTACCCCCGAGTCGCAGAAATGTGCCTGAGGTACAAGAGACGCCATGGAACGTTGAAGGTGAAGCAGACTGAAGCAGATGATAGAATACAAGATGGCGGCTGGACCCGGTGGTCTCATACCCGGACTGTGTTCATTCTTTTATACCTGGAACAAATCAAAAGTTCATCATATAGGAACCAGCACTTACCCAATACGATGCGGTCACCTCCGATGACCCCGTGGACACAACTGGCTTACAGGAGGAATGGAGATAAAACAATAAATATTTCGTATGCGGATGACACGGATCACCCTGGAAAGGTCCGGCCCATATATACTCACGTCAACATCTGGTAACCTTTGTATTAACCATATGCCAGTGTCATTTTCGTGAATGGTGCCCGCTCAATATCATTGGTTACACTGTGATCCCGATGTAGTACTTACATGTACTTATACACTATACTTCCCCTTAATCGCACCATTTCAATGCAATAAAACAACATTTACCCGAATTTAGGACACTACATGGCGTTTAGTGCTTGTTCCTCGCTAGCGTCCGATTATACGCACGATGGAAACTAAGATCAACAGACATTTGAAATGAATCAGTATAACACATGTATCAAAGCGGCGGATTCTTACGTCCACAGACACACATACGGTCTGTGGGTAAGTACCTGCATCAACCTGCTTGTCTACTCTACATATCAAAGGGACTTTTCGTTAATCACCCCCGCACGACGTGGACAACTTTGTGGTCTACTTTACTGTAATTGACATTTAACAGCCCTCGTGTATTAACTACTGCCAATTAGCGAGCATGACTGCGTCACAATAGATCAGGTTCAAGAGCGGACATCGTCCATAAATTCACATCCCCGAGCTCATATCGAACCTCTAGTTGTGTCACGATTTGAGAAAGTCAAATATAAATAGTTCAAGCTATGACAAATTAAGATTTTGTATTTCGTTAATGAGGACTCAAAACATTAATTACTACCTCGGTTAGACATACTTCCTAAGTGGTACTTCCTGAACCTCGACTGCGTCTGCGAATAGCAAGATAGCAATGCAATGACTCTCGGACTATTTCAAGTACTGTCTGCAACTACAACATGTGACGTACACTTGTATAGAGATTTAACACGCCTCGAGTCCACCCACGGTTTTCTGTTCCTATCTATTTACCTTACTGTATTGATCATGATTTTTTGATGTGAATTTTTGCAGACGTTCTTGTGAATTATGTTTTCCTTACAAATGGAGCTAGGTCAAGCATGGGGCGTGATTTGGTATATGTGGCGTACATCTTGATATCGATTGATATTTTGACCCAAGAGTGCAAGAATTAGGATATATATGGTACCCAGAACAGCTGGTAGCCATTACGTGGGGTAAACATCGACAAGCATCGCCATCGATCACGACACCACATCAACGGTTTATACAATTTATGATATCATTTCTTCCAAAAAACTTTGAAAATTGTAAATTCCCAGCGTGGTACAATGTACAACTACTGAGAGAGAAGTTCGTGCTCCTCCGCACTGAGTAACGAATATCCACGCAACGTGAACCAGAAAGCATTGACAAAGCATAGTCTGAACAGTCCATAAGGAAAATACACGGACATAATGTACAATAAATGGGCATAATTACTTCCACAGCTATGCTTGCCTCAATGTTATGTTTTACGCTAGTGTTGTACGGTCGATCTTCGCTACAACGTCTTGTCCCAATATGAGGGGATGGATTATCTACTAGGTCCGAAGGAAATTGATTATATACCGGAAATGAAGGGGGTTATATCATATACGGATCGTTACAAAGGTTCATTAAAATCATTATCTCGGAGATGGCGGGATTATGTCAACCAGAACAGAGCTGAAGTGGACTACACTGTAATTAAATCACCACATACATGTATTCGTGCTTGTTTGAACATGCTTCTGTCAATCAGAATACCAAATTGTATGTACTTCATACCTTCAAAGTATACAGACCAAGGATCAAGCTGAGGGGAGTCACGTGGTATGTAAAGGAATTAGCCAAAACGGTCCTAAAAGATATTACAGTGCATTAATAACAGACTCCTTCTCCTAAGATTGCATTCGATTAAGATTTTATATGTTATTAGGAAATTGTCATCGGAAGTGATCAAATGGACGGAAGAGTTGTTCAGCATCCGCTAATGGGGACTAGTGGTCACATGTCATGGGGTGATGTATAAACATGCGCGTCCGCGGGATCATCGCGCTAGACATTGTCAAGGAACCACATTTAGTGACATTTACGTGTGAAACTAACCAAAATAAGGGACTAATGATGTTAGTACGACAGTAAGACCAGAGTTATAGCGGGACATGGTATTCATTATAACTGTCTTTCATTAATAATCAGCTCATATATAGTTGTTCGGAGACACGTGAACAGAAGATATGGCCGTCGATTATCGCCACCTGGCCACAAGGGTGTTAAGGACAGACGCTTAATGACCGGAGGTGACCAGGGGTATGCATCAGAAGAACTATCATTGTCAGCAGATTTATTCCCTCAGAGGGGTTATGTCCAGTCCCGTCTCAGAACATTGAGAAGAACTCCATCACTATGGCTGCCTCCCGGGAACAACGATATACTGGAGTGTTTCCAGCAGTAAGATGAGGATCCAAAACACAGGAAAGGTCGACAGGCCAGGAGTCGGGGCCTAATTAAACATTGGCACCGTCAATTGACGAGACCCGAAAATAGCTCAGAAAATCCGTGTTATATATCACTGTAACAACACAGGAAACCTTCCCAACAATTAAATCATCTCGTCTCACAAGGGTTCATTAGACTATATACCCTGCAGTAGTACAGGTACCAAGTGTGAGGTAATTACCGGGTCTGTACCTCTATTAAACCTCGGAATCGTTCAATGGTCAGAGAGTTGGGTTGAGTGGCCGCGTGAAACACACTTCTAACATTCTCTATTTACAATAATAACTCCTAGCTTGTTATAACGTAGTTTACAGGCTGCGCGAGTCGGGCTCCTCTACAACGTCATAACAGCACCCCATGTTTCAATCAGTGTCAATAGTAAAATGTAATATAGAGGTAAACCAGTATTCACGTACTGAGGTATTGATATACACACAGTGTATGTTAGTGCATACAATTAACAGTAGACTTTAGTAAAGACTTTAATCTCTATCGATTTGTAACCATACATATATATTTTTAATAAATTAAAATGGTTCCAATCATTAAACATATTAATTTAAATAAAACGTTGATTACTTATCAAAGACATAAAATGTACAATGACTCCGTGTTACATATCGAACACATTACCTAGCGAATGGTACCAGGTCGGTAAGGAATCAAAGACACGATGTCGATGAGGCCATCAATCAGGCTTTGTTCTCCGCGATCGTTACTCTCTAAAGGAGATTAAAGTCAAATCATTTCTACATTTTAACGGCTTTATTGTCGGCAAGTGAAATGGTCGTTTGCTTATCCAGATGGTTCCATGTCCCTGCCACATTTGCGTTGAAATGTCCATGAACCTATTGGTCTCCAGCGTGAGAATTTTAATGTGAATGGACATTAGCATGTTTAATTAATCGCAGGATCGACTCCTGTTATTGGTGTAATCGCAACAATGGCAGGGGTTCAGGACGCATGAAGGAAAGCTGAAAGATGTGAATTATTCAGAGGATTTAAGGGAAACAAGCGCGATAACTCGACAAGTAAAGGGGGATACTTCAATACTTGCCAATATAATCTGTTGTTAGAATTCTAGCTGTAAATTTTAATCAGGCGATCTATTTGATTACAAGCAGGGAGAAGTTTTATAAACGACTAAACGGAAGTGCAATATCCTTGCTTCCTCATCAATATTTAAATCACATCAGTGAATTCTGAAGCTCTATTTTTCTGTTTTTGATTTATTATTGCAACGGAATGAACAGATACCGTCACAGATGTCATTGTCGGACTGTGTACAGTGACAAGAAGGCGACCATCTGGCTACACGACTAATAGAATTATATCCTTGTTTCTTTGCAATCACGCCCCGTAAACAGAAAGCAAGCAATTTCACGCTGCGTGATCGATCGCTGAACCTTAATGGCGATGGTGTCTTCATTAAAAAATTCTCTCTAGTCGGTACCATCACATTAACACAGATCACAATAATATTACGTACGTTAACGGGCATTCAGTTTACCTGAGTTAGTTGTGATCTGGGAGTACTTGTACCTAATTCCGTGACGTATTGTTAATTCTATCCTATTCTTAGCATAAATATGTATGACGGTATGAACCCCAGTTACTTACAATTATAGTCCATGATCCAGGGTGGGTGTCATTAAGGACATTATTCCGTCTTTGCGTATTGCAGAGTCATCCTCACAGGTATTGATTGTTACGTCATTGGTTTGTGTGAGAAAATTGTGTCGTTTTCTCAAAAGTTGATGATGTTACTCCCACAAACAATTGCGTAACAATCAATACCTGCTCACAAGAGCAGATAACTCTGCAATATGAATAGACGGAATACTTGATATACTTTAACCCCCTGCAGGTCCGAGAGGTATAATGGGCCGCAACTGCCTTACTGCATTTGTATATAAAGAGGCGACTAATGTGGGGGTCATTGCAGAATCAGAGGTCTTCAGTGCCTTCTGTTTAGAGGACATCGGGTACATGCCACTACCTACATTTACCTACGTTACAACCTAGCTACACAACTACTTTATCATCTATCTATGTGATATGTCTTGATTTATAATACATGTATATACTGAACCACCAGTAAAAATCCTCATTTCACTACCTATTAACAATAGTACATGTGTAAGAAAGGTTGAGGGGTTGGAGACATTCTAGTGTGTCTACAGACGTTACAATGCCAGTTGAGGAGAGAAGATACATTCTACTGTTTAGTTTAAACATATTGTATTGCCAAGCAAATGGATTTGGCACAAGTTATTAAACTTATATTAAGTCCTTTCCCAGCAAGTTACAAGCATACATTTACAATAGTACAAGATGGCAGACTTAATTAATATACACATATACACTATTTCATTTTTAAATGCTTTAATTTATAAATTGAAACTATAAGAGAGAGACACAGAGAGGGGGGGGGGGGGGGGGGGGGGGGCGCTAATAGTCTG